CTCCGCTACGCGTCGGGACAACACAACCTGGAGCTAAAATCTACCACTTTTTTCCCTTGTATAATAAATAACTATTTCTCAATATATCTGTGTGGCTCACCCAAATTTTCGACTTCAACTTTTGGCGGGTGTGCAGAAAAATGCATCTCGCAAAATTAAAGTATATGAAGAAAAGTGCGACAATTTCCGTACGCTCGTAGGACTATATTTTATCTCGCATTTTATTATGAGATAACTATCCGTTCAAGACGTTGTGAAGAAGAAGTTATGAAAATCATTGCTTGCAAGACTTAATGCTTCAATCAAACCTGACGAAATCATCGACCATGACTGATCGGCCTATCATGGAAATATTCCGATTAATTTCCTTTGATTGGAAGTCGGCTCCAAAAACGAAAACGCCAGTGATCGATTATTTTATATTCTTGGAAACGTATGTAAACTGTTATTTGCATATTACACATGCCATTTGCATGGTAATGGCGGTTCAGGTGTACAGATTACATGATGCGAGGCTGTACTTAACATTTCAACGCGATCTGATGAAAAATAATATCGCAAATGGTCTACTTGTTTCACAGAACAGGGCCGGGTCTCAAGTCTGCGACGGCGCATTCTAAGATTTTTCTTCAAAATCTTGTGATAATTTGAAAAGGAATAATTTAAGATATATTGATACCTTCTCGGTTTATTCAATAGACTACTTTCCTGTTGAATAAACCGAGATGGAATTAATATTTTCATCACATGGAGAATGCAAATTCTCCATGATGTATTTTTTATATATACAGGGTGTTTCATAATTGAATGCTGATCCTGAAGGGTGATAATCCTTGGATGGTTTTTAAAAAAGTTTTTCATGTGAACATAGGTCCGTAACAGCTTCGTTTCTGAGATACAGGATGTTGAAATTTAACAAAAAAATCAGTTATTCCCCAATATCTCTGAAACCGCTCTGGCTTTTTTCTTCAATTTTGGTACATGCCAAGTATGAATAAAAATACATTTTTTCCATAATAAAGGATTTCTTAATTTCCATCAGTGGCGTCCCTGTTAACATACCCTGTAATATTTTTCATCAAAATAATGATACGCCACTGTCTTTTTTCCAAATGAATATTATTTTTGTTATTATCCTCTATTTTCTCATAAAAATGGTCCTCTGTTTTTTTTTGGCCGGCGAACGGTTTTTGAGTTAGAAAATAAAATGCATTCATTTGCTTGTCCCTATTCGATTTTTACTCTTAGTCATAATTTCACAATTGTGGTAACCAAAATATCTGAGCAATATTCTCATAATTTCATGGTACCAATTTTTTTTTAAGTTCTTGTAATGAAGAAAGAAGCCAGAGCGGTTGAGAGAGATATTGCATGGGGAATAACTGATTTTTTTGTTAAATTTCAACACCCTGTATCTCAGAAACGAAGCTGTTACGGACCTATGTTCACATGAAGAATTTTTTAAAAAATCATCCAAGGATTATCGCCCTTTATGATCAGCATTCAATTATGAAACACCCTGTATGTATCATTTTTTGTGTTCATGAATATATCTGAGATTATTCCTTTTCAATACTTTCACCCAATCAAGGGGTTCAAACTTGAACGATGGAAACTTGTTATTTTATAGACCTCAATCGCAGATTCGTGATTTTAGGTTTTCTCAATTCAGAATGTGTTTCCACGTCCTGTATGATGAATGTCAATTTATCATTCATCCAAAAACAAATGCCCAAATGACAGGAGTATGTCAATAAATCATAATAATTCTCAGATATCAGTTCGTTATAGTTTTAGCTATAGGGAGATGCGAATTGTATATATCATGTAGAAGGGCTGAAAGAATAACTGGACTTCAGGTTACCGATGAGGATATGATATCCGAAATGAGTTTTACTCGCGTTAAGTCATATAACCTGTTCGTGAGAGATATGATTTCCATATCACTGATACGAATGATTTTTTTGGAAGTTTCAAGCTCATCAAGATCAGAGTTCATACAAGTATACTTCTCATATACATTTCAATTTTCATTTCAATACTGAACATATCGGTAAGTTATATTTTTATATCATAATACATCATATTATTCTATTCGATTTGAGAGATAATGTCAATTCTCAATTTCGAAGGATTTTGATTTTTCATGCTCTCTATTTGGATATTCAACAGATATAATTCAATGTTCGACGTGGCAAATAGGCAGGAAAGTAGTTGTTTTCTGTTGAATATTCAGAATTATATTATATGCATATCTTTATATGAAGGAAAATGCAAATTCTCTACTTCGGAAGATTTTGTTTTCAAATTCTTATCGTGTGTGTTCAATAGATGTAATTCAATATTCGAAATTGGGGTGGTTCGATGGCTGTTGGCAAGCAGTGTATATCACTGAAGATGACCCCACTTGGTCCTAGAGTGCAGTTTTGGTTTACCTCTCGCTCCAGAAATTTTCAGGATCCTTACTCAACGATTACGTTAGATACAGGGGTGTTTCCATTAGAAGTGAGACACACTGTATAGATGGATAGATAATCTTTATTTGTTTTTTGAAATCGAAGCCTGAAATAGGCGTAGAAATTGTCAAGGTCAAGATATAGTTCACAAAACATTGATGAACAATTGCGCTCGTTACCTTCGGTATTATTGATCAATTGCTCGCAGATTCAACTTTTGATACGAAACACTCCCAACAAAATCGTGAGGAAGGATTGTATCTTAGAAAGCAGACTACTTTTTCTAAACAATCAAACCCCACTTGGCCTCAAGGAAACTTCTTCATAGAAAGTATACTTTTTAACACCGATCCATGATCGAAGGATACTACTTTTTCTGAACAGTCTAACCTTACCGCTCAAAAAAGTTAATGTTCCACCTCCAAAAATGGATGTTGAGTCATTGACCGTCATTTTATGACAAATTCAAACATATTGTCAAGAAGTACAAATCAAAGAAGGGAATATTTGTATTTCGTGCAAGATAATTTACGAAATACAAATCTTCCCTTCCTTGGTATATATTCACGTGCACACATCCCAGCAACCCTCACTAAGAAGTACAAATGCCTATGGAATAACATCACTCAAACTCGCGTTCATTTCATGATTTTTAATTATAAATCAACTTTTACAAATTGAAACATCCAGTACAGTGTAGTTCGATCAGGTCAGTGGATTTCATAGACGTCAGAATGTGCAAAAAACGCTTACCGTGCGATAATACCCAGATAAGCGATATCGAAAGGTAATGGCCAATCCCATTGCGGAAAATTGCAAACCTAGCATCGATTCCGAATATAAATAGTACCCTAGTCGATAAGGCATCATTATTATTAATACAAGTCATTAGTAATTATCACTTAAAAAATGTTCGCCTTCTCCCCGACTTCAATCCTGCTGGTCAACCCCATGCTAGACGTTGTAATGTAAGTACGTTTTTTTTAAAAGTGTTGTTTTACGTTGTGTTTCAATTATGTTCTTTTTCTTTGCTAACCTGCCATGTGGCAAGCATTTATCCACGATTTTTCCACTTACTCAATGAATGTCATAATTTATATGAAAACTGTCTTGACTCTTTATTTGGGGATGAATGTGGTTGGTTGGTGAAATGATCAAAACTTTGACGAGAGGTTTTGATCTCCAAGCGAGTAGCTAAGTTACGACCTATAGGAGGGTTCACTTCTGAGTTGGGGCAATATTTTGAAAAGATTTTTGTTCCAAAGAAATACTTTGTCGACTGGTCTATAAAGCACGGGAGGTAAAGGTTTCAGAACCACCACCAGGGTGACCGAATACAACGTGGATTCGCGATAGGAACGAACATGAACAAGCGCTGGTCGGTATTATGTATAAAGATCGGCTTTATGGGTGGTGCGATTCGTTTTTGTTTTTTTTTCGAATCTCGAATCTTCGTGGCGGCAACCTTCTATATCAAAATGATGCTTCTCGAATATAAAAACGATAAATAAAGGCAAACATATACAGGATGGCCCGAAGATCTATTTATATTGCATTATAAAATTTACAGTGCCTGTCTAAGGTACGCAACGAAATTTGGAGAACTCAAATAGGAGATGAAAACCAAATTTTTTATGAAAAAATGACAGCTTGATGTTTTGAAATGGCGGCTGAGCGTCATCTTAGTTTTTTTAATGTAACACAACGTTTGTTGTTCCATTTTCGAAATCTCTTCATCATATACTCTCAACAGCTTGAACGAATACACCTCAAGCCTGAATTCAATAGTTTTCAAAATACATATAATCGTTCGAAAAGTTATATTTTGGTCGATTTAAACCCAACCAGACCCAAGCAAAATCTTGAATTTTACTTTCAATCAAGTTTCCCTTGCGAAAAAATGGTTGTCGCGGTGACATTTTGTTATTTACTGTCAAATTTAACGTGATTGAGTTTTTGGCTGGGTTTGAAAAAAATGGCGAAAATGTTACTTTTCAAACATCAATAATTCAAAAACTATTGAATTTAGGAGTGAAGTGAATGGAATAAAACTGTTGAGTCATGAGAAAAGTTCAAAAATAGAATAATATATTAAAAAAATCGAGATGGTGCTCAGCCGCCATTTTAAAACTTTAAGCTATAATTTTTCATGATGAAGTAGGTATTGATTTCTTATTTGGGACCACCAAATTTTGTTGTGATATACCAGATGGTTCAAAAATTAGTATAGGGAGATCGGACTACATCAGAGTATGCTAGTTTTTCATATAATTTTGACATACGGTGCTCCATAAAAAAAATTAGGTTCATCACGCTTTCAGTGATCAAACTGTACACCTTCTGATAAGGGCCTCATTGTAGCATACAACTTCGGCATATTGTTTTATTTCAGTGATGAATAATAACGTGAATATAATAAGGGTGAGCCTCTTCAACAGATTACCCTGTGATTGGATAATTTGCAAGACATGCTCGAAAATAATGAATTCTGCAATAATGGTATTTGGAATTATAATATAACGTCTAGTGTTCTTTATTTTTCAGGATATTTCGGCAAATACCTGAACAAGTATAACGGTTCATACATTCCACCAGGATGGCGGGAATGGGGTGGATTGATTATGAATTCGAAATATTACAACTATTCTATCAACATGAACGGAAAGAAGATCAAGCATGGATTCGATTACCACAAGGTATGTCAGTTAACATAATACCTTGTTATCAATGTTTACCTAACTGATTGAAATTTTTCGCTATGCTAATGATTCAATATGCCTATGTTCCTGTTCAAACATATTTTTCGGCAACCGTTCTTCTTTGAGAAAGTAGCATTTTTCCGGCCTAGTCCGGGAAGTATCACATCGTTGTTGTCACTGTAACTATGACAATCTTGGTAGATAAGGATTTGATAAAGGACCCCGCACGAAAACACGGGAAATTGGCTCTCGTTTGAATTGGCTGAAATTTCACTATGTTGTTGTGGGATGGCTAATTAGAAAAATATGTGAGTTTAAGAAATTTTGTATGTTTAGTTTCTAAGATATAAGCCGACAAAGTTCGTGAAAACGTCGTATCGGGGTATTAGGATTGACAAAGAAAAAAACTGTTCATTAAGTATAAATGAAACAAAATAAGCTAGAAAATGTATTGATCGGAAATCATAAACATGTCTAGTTTTAATCACATAAATTATAATAAATCAGGGTGTCTACGAGGCACGGTCAAAAAATTCATTTTTCGGAAAAAAGATTCGAGCACTATTCCAAAACCAACAAGTTATATTCTGGTGAGACATTATAGTTTCAGTCTATTGTAGGCTTCGAAAATGTATTTTGATTCTTTTTACCTATCTATGTTCAAAATATGAATTTTTAGAATTATGTGTTATACCCCTTTTTGAAAACAATTGACAGCTTGTTTTTGATCACAAAGAAAGGAATTGATTGATACTGTTGATTGAATGAAAGCTGAGGTAACTCATTATCGAATTCAGTTGTTCAATATTGCCTTTCATTTAGATACAGGGTGTGTTACATTTTGTTGAAGATTATTTAACATGTTTCAATTGAATATCTCGAAAACAGTTCCGTCAATTTGGATCTCATTTTACTCACATTATTTTAAATATGTTGACTATCATATGCGAAAAGTTTTTCAATTTTTCATGTTTCGTTTCTGACATATCAATTTTTGAGTTTACAGTATTACAGTTATTACAGGGATGCATATCTCAGAAACGAAACATAAAAAATTAAAGAACTTTTTGCATATGATAGTCGACATATTCAAAATAGTGTGAGTAAAATAAGTAATTGTGTACTCGCCTACGGCTCTGCCTAGAATTTTGTCTATATACTCGTCCAAAAAAACAGTATTTTCCGGACTTGTTAGGTAAATTACTATTTTCGGCAAGTCTCTAATAGGTAGTAGTATAGTAGTAGTAGGTGAGGAGGCTGTAGCCAAGCAAGTAGTCCCCGATGGGCCCTTTTTTTTGCAATTGCATTACCTCGTTGGTCCCAGCACTGGGACCAAACGCCCCATAAGTCGAAACTTGTGCGGGGTTAGGTGAGCATACAAACACAATCATCCATGTCCTAACTATGATTCGAACCTATGTCTCGGTGGGAGTCCCCATACGAACTCAGCGACTTCACGCTCTCCACATCTCTACGATTCCTCCACCTAGATTTCCTTTACGAATCTCACTTACCTTCTAATGAAGGCCAGTATGTCCGTCCACTCTAATATGATCAACTCCTCCTGTTGGAGTTTGTCGACTCTGAAGATTTCAAATTTCAGCCTCCCGTACGCCTCGCACTCACCGAGAAAATGGAGTGACGTTTCTTCGTCTTCCCCACATCTGCGGCAAGTGGGGTTGTTGTCTATTTCCATAAGTGTTGGGTGTCTACCTAGCCTGTTGTGTCCTGTGAGTACTCCTATAAGGAAACGGAGTACTTGGCGGTCTCTGCCAAGCAGCCAGTCCTTCCTTGATTTCCTCGGACCGGCCACGAATTCCTTGGCCTGCCTGCAACCTGTGATATTCCTCCAGTATTCTCATAGTGTCTTGTCTGCCCATTCATCAAGGGCTGACGTAGTTTGGCTCCTTGCTCCGGATCCGGCCTTAGCAAGTTCGTCTGCTGTTTCGTTTCCGGGCACCCCACTGTGACCCGGGACCCAAACCAGTTCGACTTCCTTCGATTGGGCTAATATCTCAAGGGCATTTCCACATTCCTGTACCAATGCCGAGCTTGGTCTGGGATGGCAGATAGCCTTGAGTGCTGCCTGACTATCCGAACAGATGTAGATCTTCTGCTCTGATCCCTCTTTTACCTCTTGCCTCTCTGCTACGACCAGGATGGCGAACACCTCAGCTAATAATACGTAACTATACCTTACTAAAATGAATTATATTCTTATCTTTTCGATAGTTACATGACGAGAATATTTTTCAGAATTTGATTCATTCAATCGCTTTCCGTGTTTTGAATTTCAAGTTTTTACTAGCTTGTGGTGACTAAGAATGAATTCTTTGGATGGACAAATAAACAGTGCTTGTGAAGATGGCAGATGGCTAGCACCTCAGATAAAAGATTAAAATCTATCTACTTATGAAATCAGAATCGTGTCGCAGATAGAATGCAGAAAAAATCGAATTCTGAAAATAAAACTGCATTTAATTCAACAACTCATCAAATTTAAATGAGAATGCGGAAATGATTATGTCTTCGCGTGTGGTATGCCGCTAAAATTTAATTAAACTAGCGGCATTAATTCCTATCGAAACCTGGCGTTTAATTATTGCATTTCACATGATTGGAACATGGGTACTTGGACGAAAAATGCCGGGAATATGTGTTTGTTAATGATTAAAACACCGTGGGTAAGCATTTATGATTATCACATTGGAGGATCAACATTATTATACCGGTATACCTTCTTGATGTATATTGACTATTAATGTTCACAATGTAATCACAAATTGCACTAATTGTAAACACTTAATCGAGATATCACAAAATTATCACGCAGTTCATATAAGAGCAGGTGGAATCTTAATTTCTCTAGATTTTTTGGGCTTTTTTTGTCATCGTCCATGTTGATAAAAATATTGGTAGGTATCATTTCAATACCTGTAGGAAAGACTAATTAGATTTTCTAAAATGTCAGTGCTTTTGAAATTGTATTGCTGGGCTGCCGATGTTGGTATAGTGTAGGTGTCTCTAATGGTGAAATTTTCAAAATCATTAACACATTGAAATAAAACTTATTTTTTTTATTTGTAGAAACGAGGCAAATGATTTCCTAATTTTGAAATGAGTAGGTATTTGTTGCATCTATTACAGCAAACAATTTTCTCTCGTGCAATGGAACGTCGTAATCTCAACTAATGTCAGGCATGCTAACTCATCATATAACATTTCCATACTGACTGAGCACTGAGCAGTGAGCCTGCTTCCTGCTAAAAGAGACGATAAGTTGGAGACTTGCTTATCCACCGCGTGTATATCTGTTTAATTTTGCGAAGGTCGACTGGGTCCAGGACATCTCTCATTTGTTTTCTACATCTGTATATCAGCTGTCAATCAGGTCCATGTGCCGTCACGTATAGAATTCTACACGTAGAAAATAATGGAATAAAACTCAATCATTTCGAATCATTAGAAATCAACAAACTTACACACTTAAGGTACACCTTATTTTAATGTAGACGTTGTACAGTTGTGTGCATAAAGAAGTCGTTCAAGGTTTGTATGGTGTAAACCTGCCTATGATATTCCAGATTTCATTAAAAAGTAGTACACGTACACATTTGCTCGTTACTTACAAAAATAGTTTGAATTTTGACACTACTTGTCACAGTCGACAAGCAGATTAATCAAGATTGACAAGTCTGACTCACAATAGCCTATAACTGCTGTACGACCTGTTTATGCACACAACTGTACCTATTTTCCGAGAATGAAGGTTTCGAACCTTTCCATAGGTGATTCTAATCCTTCAAGTTGGGAAAGTAGGATATATAAAAGTTAGGCAAGCCAAGGTTAGTTTAATTCATTGTACCAGTATTTCACCTGATGAAGCTACTGGTGTGTTAGCGAAACATGTAGTGGATTTTTGTGGAAATATTATCGTTGGTGAAGTTTTTACATTTGCTATGGATTTCCATCAAGTCAATTGAAAAAAATCACTCAATCATATGCCAACATCAGTGTGTCAGTGAGAAGTGTCAAACTATAACAGCACAACTTTGAAAGATTAATATTTTTGCATTTTCATGTTGAGAACGGGAGCAGATTCGTACCCGAAACGTCCAAAGATAAGTAGAAATTCGATATTTTCTTCAAACATTTTTCCACACAAAGTGTCACTGACAAGCTCTTGGATTTTTCTTCCAGGCTCCCTGATAAAAAAATGTGTTAAAAGCAGTGACATTTTGGGGCGAATCATCTGATTTGTCCTACTACAAATATATTGAAATAATACTCATATTTTTATTCTATAGAAACGAGGAGAGAAAGTCCTAAATAATCAAGTAAAATGAATTAGTATATTGTTAAACCAGCACGGAATGATAGTGAACAGATAACAGCGGCATTTTCGATTTTTTCGTCTTGTAGCCATCTGATTTCCTGTCAAGTAATGGTCATCTATTAGACAGAGCTGTCATTGCTTGCAATTTGACATTCCATGAGCGATGAGATTTTTTCGAAATAATAACACAATGGACTTATGATATCAGATACGGAAATAATATTGATGATATACAAAGTACCTCATTGACGTAGGGGAGGTGTGGATATGATGGCACCGCTTTTTTATTATTTGTTTTCAGGGTCTGAAATACATTGAATATGGATAAAATTCACAAGACACATCAAGATTATCATTGTTGATATATATATAGATTCATAATTGCATGAAAACACATGTTCAATTATTTATTGTATTTATTTATTTATTTATTGTCGAGGGTGTCATCATAACAAACAACTTTCAATGATGGCACCCTAAAAAAAATGAACAGGTAACATAAGTGAAATCAGTCATCTTCGCAAATTACATAGCTGACATTTGAGCCCCAGCTCTTTGGATTTCGACCAAGAGTAGCGAGCTCGTTACAGTACAAGCATGCAACATCTTCAGCATCGTCATCTTGCTCATGGTTTATTATGGTACATTCCACATCTGAATC